GTGTGTGTGTGTGTGTGTGTGTGTGTGTGTGTGTGTGTGTGTGTGTGTGTGTGTGTGTGTCCTAGCAGGAACCTGCACCTGCATGAAGATATGTTTGATTCGACCACCAGAGAGCTGCTCCCTGTCCTGTCAGTGTGTGAGTGTGTGAGTGTGTGTGTGTGTGTGTGTGTGTGTGTGTGTGTGAGTGTGTGAGTGTGTGTGTGTGTGTGTTGTTTAAGAGGCTACATGGTGAAACATGCTCAGTGACATGAGGCTAAACCGCCAGTTAGCATGTGTGCCTGGATGCTAGCCAGTTAGCTAGCTCGGCTGTTCCAGGCAGATGGATTTAGATGGATCCGAGTGGGTTAGCAAGTCGTCTTATCTCGTCCACAAACACACAGCAGACAGTTAAAAACAAAGCCGTGTTCACGTCAGGCTGCGGGGGACAGCGAGGCGTCAGTGTGCACAACGATGGGTAACACTTTTCGACGTAACACCGGTGTGTGCGGTACCTTTGTCTCCCTGATGTCCTGCTTCCCTCCTTCGGGGTACCACTGGACGCGGACGAACCCCCTCCCGAGAGGCCGACTGGGGGTGTCCACAGCGCTCTCAGTGTCCGACCCACACTGGACTCGTCCTCCTCCTCCTCCTCCACCTCCTCCTCCTCCTCCTCCACCCCCACCTCTCCCTCCGCCATCGTCGAGGTCCGAGTCTGAGTTAAAATCCTCCTCGCCGTGGATCATGCGTACGAGGCCAAAGCGGACTGAGCCGCGATACCGCCCGGAGACCAGGTCGTGGGAGAAGAGCAGCCGCTGTGAGCCGTCCTGCGTGGGAGACAGAGCCATAGAGGGAGGCTCCGAGCCCGGGCTGCCTGCCGGGGAGAGGCCCGGGGACGCTGCGGCCGCTGACGCTTCGGGCTCCGCCATCGCTGCTTGTTGTCAGGGAGTGATGCTGGAGCGCGAGCGAGGATGACGACGGAGTGAAAAAAAAAAAACTGTAACCTGGAAAGCAGCGAGGCGCACGTGTTTACGTCGCTACGTAGCGCAGTGATGGAACGTCATCACGCAGTACCCTCTCTCGCCACTGAGCGGCAGTGTGTTCACATTAATACTCACGGCAAAGATAAAACACATTTTCTTGCTTTTCAGATGATAGATTTTATTTATTTAAATTATTTGAAACGGCTTATGACAATAAAAAACTTGGTGTGGAGCACAAACACAACACACAATAATATATATTTTTTATTTTTTATTTTATTTATTAGCACACACACACAAGAATACATCAAAATAGGATTAACAAAAACATAAAAGGTGTGTCAGGAGAGGTCAAGAAGCCAACAGGCTTATACAAGGGACCTCACCTCTTAAGAGACAAATAAATCAACTAAACAAATCGAATTACACAGTTTCAAAACAAAATTAAATATAAACACATATACAGTAACCTGTACATGTATTCATACACACACTTAGACACATACACACAATAGAAAGACTGAAAATGTTACCCCTCTATCAGCTAAATGAAAACAGGCATTCATCTATTAAAAATGGAGTGAAGTGAGTGAGCTGATGGAAAAACAAGATAATAAATATATTTTATATAAGTTTGACCTCAGATTAAATGTAAAGACAGTTTCCTTTTAAAATAAATAACAAAACCATCTAACTTCCTAGGAGCTCCTGAGCGCTCTTTACTCGTTTATTCCTCTGGGTCTTTGGTGGGGACGGCCTGATGCTATGCTAAGAGCTATAACTAATACAATTTTTACATTTATTAAAATGAATAGAAATGGAGTTTAGGCCAAACCATTCAACAAAAACAGCGTGCTGACATCAGCATTTTCTCTAAGCCATTAAGGTGAAACTGGATTAAAGGACGGGTGGTAGGAGCAGTTTTCCTGGACTTATTTAAGGCCTTTGATACGGTCAACTATCAGATACACCACGCTGAATTGTCGGATTACAAACTGTCCATAAATACCCCGAACTGGATCCATTCTTATTTATCCGGTTGCTTCCAGTGAGTGCGTATAAATAACTCTATCACCATCAAGAGCCTGCACCATGGGAGTACCGCAAGGTTCCATCCTTGGACCTTTGTTGTTCAGCTTATACATTAATGATGTCCCATCTGTGTGACGATGTGGAAATACAGATGGTCGTACCCTCTGGTGTTGTAGTACTCGAAATCGGTCTTGAAGGTCTCGTCTTGGGATCAATAGTATTTTTACTCGGTCTTGTTTCTTGGAAGACTCCTGATTTTAAGACAAGACCGGTCAACGTCACCACAGAGCAGCTATTTTACTAGTCATCGCTGAGATTAGAAGGAAAGCTTTCTAAAAGAATGAATAACTTCAGCTCATTGATAATTAGATTTTTATCCCCCAGTTACCCCGGTTACGGCCGCAACCTTCCCGGTGTTACGGTCTAAGAGAGTGACACGCCCCCTGCACACAAGATAAATGTCTTGGTTTTGTCTCGGTCTTGGTGTTGGTCTTGTCTCGTTCTCAATCCTTTAATGTCTTGGTCTCGTCTTGACTCAGTCTCAGTCCCTAAATGTCTTGGTCTCGTCTTGACTCAGTCTCAGTCCCTAAATGTCTTGGTCTTGTCTCGGTCTTGGTGCACTCTGGTCTCGGGAATGTCTTGGTCTTGATTAGTGTGGTCTCGACTTCGACACTAGCCATAGGAAAAGTTGTGAAACCAAAATGTAGCGGCTTATCCAGATAAAACAGTAAATTGGAAAAACTTCAATCACATATTTTAATAGATTGTGTTTTGTGACCAAACCGAGCCGAACAAACATCTCATGAGTCCTCTTCTTAAAGGACATCGATGAAACCCCTCGATCGAGGAGTATTCATACCTCCTCTTATTAAAAAGTTAAAAGTGTCGTACCAGGGGAAAGCTCATTGTAATTTAAGCTCAGTGTTTATCAGGGGGTGGAGATTATTTTCAGCCTTGTGACCAGCTCACCTGCTCATGGTGCCAGTGTGTGTGTGTGTGTTGATCAGATCACTCAGCTGCCTTCCTGGAAACCAAAAATAATGACACCTGACATTCAGGATTCTGCTGCTTCTGTCTCTGCTGTGACATCATCAGCTGTCCATAAATCAAAATAAAAAGACTGACTTGTTGAAATTCTTCACAAAGCTTATTTTAACTCCAAAGAGGTGACAAACACAAACACCTCCACATCCCCCTAATCCTCTTTGCAGATCTGGAAAAAAAACGCGTGGAAAGAGCGTGAACTCGACTTAAAGGGACAATGGAAAAGTCTCGCTCAGAGAAATCACATGAAGAGTGGGAGTCGAGTCCTTAAGATTGCCCACTTTAAGCAGCACGACGGAGAGAAGCCAATCAGAAACACAGCTTTAATAAACATGTTTTTTTAATGGTTTAACAATCAGGGCAGCCCTCGTGAGTTACTTTACCGGAAGTCAACTCCATAAAAGAGTTTGGTGATGTTTTGGTGGGAAACGTCAACACATGATCTGTCAAATCTAAATCTGCTGGTCTGACGGGGATCACTCCCAACACCCCCCTGACCCCGGGTAAGTATGTTTATTGTTAAGATTACTCACGGGGGGGGGGGGGGTTGTCATCCAGCTCCCTTCAGGATTAGAACCAGCTTCCTGCGCGCGCCGCCGAGGGTATAAATACTGAGCGCGAGCCACTCTCCGCTCAGTCTTCACGCGCAGTCCTGTTTACGCACGGATCCAGAAGAGGAGATACTCGACAGCAGGAGACTGTTTGATTTCACGCTTGACTTTTAAGCACATTTGGGGGGAAAACTAGGATCATGTCGGTTGTGAGCGCAGTTCCGTTCATGAGGCCGATCCACATGCGCTCTCCGGTGTCGCAGGGCCGCAGACACACGCTGCCGGCCAGCGAGTTCCGCTCCCTGAGCCCGGAGGATGCCATCAGTGTGTTCGAGATAGAGAGAGAAGGTAAGACAAACTCTCACTTTACCTGAACACATCACTCATTAGGACTGTCTCGGTAGCTTTGGTGTTTTTTGGCACTTTTACGCACAGAGGGACGAGACACAGAGTCTCAGTGTTCATGCACTTTAACTTATATCAATTCACTCTGTAAGAAATCATCAGTACAGAACTCGTACTCAGAAAATGGTGGGCTCTACCTTGTGCATAGTTAGCCTACTTATGACGTCACGCCCACTGGAAAAAAGAAAAGAAAAAGAATCCTTTTGCAAAAGCAAACAGGGAGTTCAGCTGCCTTCAACTTTCTTTACATCCCTGGTGATCCCGTTTGGTGATCCTCTTGAGTACACGAGACCAGACAAGGGCGTCTTAGTGGGGCGGAGGGTGGGACTGATTGTCACTTCAGAGGAGGAAGGGGGTCCTTGATATTAAATAAAAAGACAAGGTTGTATCGTTGTAAAATGTGATGGAGTGGCCGAATGTGACCCAGAAACCCCCCTGCATCCGGGTGTCATATTAACAGTTCTCCTCCTCCTCCTCCTCCTCACAGCCTTCATCTCAGTGTCCGGAGAGTGTCCTCTGCACCTGGACGAGGTGCGTCACTTCCTCAGCCTGTGTCCTGAGCTGTCTCTTGGCTGGTTCGAGGAGGGACGGCTGGTGGCGTTCATCATCGGCTCACTGTGGGACCAGGAGAGGCTTAACATGGTAAGGGCCGCGCGGGGACACCTGGGCGCTGATTTACCTGACTGGACCGGCGGGATAAAAGCTAGACGAGGTTTAAAAACAAATTAACAGAGGAGAGTTTGGAGGATTAATAAACCATAGAAAATCATTTGGGAAAATCTAAGGGGATGCTACGGCTATCCTAACCCCTCCCTGGCGCCGCTCATGCCTCAGCTGCGGCAAAGCGGACTATAACCTCTGTACATGAGGCACGTGACTTAACCGCTAAGCTTCAGTAGCTCTGGAGAAGCTGATTGTCATTTTAATATTTCTCATCGAACTTGTCATCGATAAATCCCTAACCTGTCCCCTCCCCCCTCTCTGTTCTCCAGGACGCCCTTACGCTCCACAAGCCCCACGGGACCACCGTCCACATCCACGTCCTGGCCGTCCACCGCACCTTCCGCCAGCAGGGCAAAGGCTCCATCCTCATGTGGCGTTACCTGCAGTACCTGCGCTGCCTGCCCTACGTCCGCCGCGCCGTCCTCATGTGCGAGGACTTCCTGGTCCCCTTCTACCAGAAGTCCGGCTTCAAGGTGCAGGGCCGCAGCGCCATCGCGGTGGGGCCCCTCACCTTCATCGAGATGCTGTACCCGGTCAGGGGCCACGCCTTCATGCGCAGGAACAGTGGGTGTTGAGAGGGGATTTATGTGAATCTTCCACCTGGCTGTCAGTCAAGGGGGACGTCGGAGCACCTGTGTGTGAGGCGAGCGACCTGCGCCACTGCCAACAGACTTGTTCAGCACGCAGGTCTGACTGAGTCTGCAGAGCGCCCAAAACAAAGAGCTGCCGTTCAGCTGCAACCTGCAAGCTGTTTGGAAAGGTGGTCAGAAAACTACAAACATGGAGATCTAGTCTGCTAGTCCGAGAAAAGCAGGAAATCATTAGAGCATTATCAATCACACTCTCGAGAATCAAACTGCCTTCTGTCTTTCTCTTGTTTAACCAATGGGACCGGACTTCTGGCTCTTTTATGAAGACAAAACTGACTCTTTATGGACAATAAAACCTGAATCTGTCTTTTCTTAAAGGACACACATAATACAAAATCCTCTTCCCCATGTTTCTCTAACTCTAACATGTGTCTCTAGTCCGTCTACAAACCCCCCAATCATGAGAAAAGTCCATCCTCTCCATCTTTAGCCTGCTCCACTTTTCAGAAAATGTGTGCTCAAAGAGGCCGTTTGGAGATTTTCCCTTCATGACATCACAAAGGGCAGTAGCCCCTCCCCCAGGTGGGTGACACTCCCACAGCTAGGTGTTTGTTCTGCCCTCTGAGTCTGCCTTCTCACCGTAAACAATAGGACATGGAGCGAGAAAGCCCGAGTACACCCAAGCCCTTCCAGAGAGGGGGTGTGGTCAGACACAGCTCATTTACATATTTAAAGGTACAGACACAGAAACAGCCTGTTCTGAGCAGGGCTGAAATAGAGGGGTTTATAGACATGATCAAATACAGGATCAGAGTGGATTTAAGGGAGCTCTAAGACTTATTTAAACTGGTTGAAAAGGAGGAGAATATGTGACCTTTAATGACTCATGTTTGTGTCCGCACATTACCTGTCAGATCTGAGAGTCAGGAAACCTTGGAGGACTTGAACATCTCGAGAAGTAAAAAAAAAAAAAAAAACAGGAGGAAAAGGAACAGTCCATGTATTTATATGGAGCATCTCTGGGACAGCGCGAGGAACATGTGATGTATGTTCAAGAGAGTATTTCCTGTTCCCCTGCAGTAAGATTACAGACTCATACGTACTTGTATGTTTAAGATGTTGATAACGTGATGTCATGATGTCTCTTCTCCACTTCTGTCTTGTAGACATTCACCACCTCTGCCTCCCAAAGTCTTGAATCAAGACAAACTTTGTTCTTGTTGATGTGTTTTGTTTTTTTTTACAATGGTTTGCTCTTGAAATAAAAGTTTATTTTCTAGCATGTCTCCTGTTGGTTCTTCTTATGTAATATGAGAAACTGAACAGCTGTGGAGGAAACAGCAGAAGCACTGAGTCAGCGTTTTATCACATCACCGATTTAACTACACCAACACATCGAGCTGCAACCTCCGGCCTCGAAATATGAAACCAATGCCGAAGTGCAAAATCCTGCAGTTGGTCGAAGTTCATGAACACCGGAAGCCATTTCTCTTAACTATGAGAAAGGTCTTTTACCCGCTCTTTTGTAAAGCGTCTCGAGAAAACACTATGAATTTATTGATTGATGTCAATAACGTCCGAATTTATCAAAATTATTCAGATTCTGAGATGACACCTTCAAAAGTCTCGAGACCGACAACTCTAAGACGCAGTGGCGATTCTAGAGTGTTGGGACCCTGGGCAAATATTCATTGGGGGCCCCTCAACTTGTGTTCATCACCATTATGTCTGACAGTGTCCCGACGCTTCCTCTCCTTTTTTTTTTGTCACTCCCAGGCGGATAACTCCTCTTCGTTTTCCTTCTGCGACTTTCACTGACAAATGTTGGTTTTCAAAGGAGAGTGAGTGCTGTCAAGATGGGGCCCCCTTTAGGGAGGTATCCTACTGTCACTGCAGCATTTGCACATTTTAATGCACTGCTGTGGTTTAAAGTTTGTCAGCCCTTGGGGGTTGCCTGCCTTTCCTGTTGACAAACAGCACCTCTGCTAAGAAGTACATTCAGTAGTTTAATGTGAAACGACAATAAAGACTTTTATAAACATTCATGGGTCCAAGACGACTTCAAACACACAATGAAACCTGATCTTTAGTAATAGAATGGATTTTATTTGCTTTAACAATCACATGTTCACAAACACAACAGAACCTGTACCATGAGCTCATAGTGGTTTAAACGTTCCCTTGATGTTCCAATAAAAAAAAAAAAAGAGGAAGTGAATCGTTTTGGTCCCCGTGCAAACACAGCAGCCATCGCTCAAACTGCTGCACAATGAAGACTGACGATGTGGTTTAAAACTCAAAGTCAAACACGATTAATATGTCTAAGAGCACCGTTTGGTAAAGATGGCTGCCACCCTTCAGAGGCGGGCTGTCGTGATGAGAGTAGAATATTTAAACTTTGGTTCGACTCTAGTGAAAATCAAACGACGCCACACCGAGTCCAAGGCACCAAATATTAAATGATTTCTTGTTTTAAAAAACAAAACTAGCAGACAAACTCCTTCTTACTGTACAAATATGTTAACAATGATTAGTTACCCAAACGTATTTGCTAAATGAAGACAGTACTCTCTCTCTCTCTTTTGCTCGTGGCAGCTTGTGTTTAAAAATATGACCAAAGATCAGAAGTTTTTTCAAAGCTTTGGTACTTTTTCGTTTCCTATCGATCAATAAAATAAGCGACTGCTTCGATTTAAAACACGTGGTATTAAAAAGTAAAGTATGGAACATGTTGACGTCCGTACACTCGGTCCTCCTAACCGTGTGCAAACATGATCTTATACCTCGAAACAGAAGATATTTAAAAGGAAGAATGTGCGACTTTTTGATCCAGTAGGTGTCGCCCTTGAGCACCAGCATGAAACCAAAACAAACTGCTGTTAGGCCACGCCTCCTCCATACTGAAGCCTCCGCTCTCCTCCAGAGTCACACCTCCAACCCCTCTACACTCGTGCAAAGGAGTCGAGCTAAATGACTCAGAGACACATTTACACAGGATAGACTGGATTTATGATTTATTTATGTGGAACATGTCGCACATTCTTCCTTTAATCACGAACCTCTGTGATTCCAAAACTCGTTGCCACATTTCAAAATAAAATCATTCTTCATGTTGTCAGAAAAACACCTGATGATCAGTGAGTCAGACAAACTCAAGTAATCTCATAACTCACTTAACTCCCATAATCCTTTGCACGGCGTGCATTAGTGGCTTTTCCTCACAGCTGGGGCTTCACACACACGCCACAAAACAACAACAAACTAAACCCGAGGCCGAGCTGGGACCCTGCGAGGGAGCCGTTTCACTTTCAGGTGTTAGAAATATCACTTAACCTGATTTATAATTCTGTGTTGAATCATCGCCGTAGCACACGCTGCCGTGCACCTCCTCAAAAATGTAACAAAACAACGCAGATCACAAGCCCTGTGATTGGTCTACACTGCACTGCCAACTAGTGTTTGGAGGGCGGAGTATTGCAGAGTGACACAGACACTCCAACGCACACAGTGTGTAGCGCTCACAACAACTCGTCTTCTTTCAATTGTTTTCTGAGTAGAGAGCGTCTGTAGCAGCTGTCTGGACAAAAAGTGCAGCGCCCAGCGTCTTTCTTCAGAGCGCGCCGCCTTTTTGTGCGGTCACTCCGAGCGCTTCCAGTTGAAAATCTTTAAACTTTTCAGAAAGGTGCTGTCGACGTCACTGCCGCTCTTTTCCAAATGTTTGATATTCCCCGTAGTTTTGCCTCCTGCGGGAAATAAACGATCTCAAATATAAAACATGCAGTAAAAATTAACAGAGCAGTGTCGATCATACAGCGGCCGTTGTTAACAGACTGTTGTCATGGAGACAGGATGGACATGCAGCGCTTCTTTTCCTCAAAGCACAAAACGCTTCATGCATGTGCTCCAGAGCGCTCAGCCTGCCAGGAGACGTTTAGGGTGACCCGATGAGAGCAGTCATCAGGAGTTATAAAGGAAGTGTCTCGAGGAGAGGTGAGGCCGCTGAGCTCTTCCTTCTCTTTTCTGCTTTCTTCTTCGTTGATACTGTGAATACGATCGAGCTCAAGTAGCAGTGATATAAAGTCCAAACATAATCATAATGGTGTTGGACTCGGGTCGAACGTCAGACTGTGAGGATCATGTGTGGACGAGCGATTCGGGCAGATTTCAGGAGCAGAGACTGAGTGATCGTGTGAGAGGAAACGTGAGGCTGAGGTGAAACACAACGCTGCGTTCTGAGATTCTCTCGATGACAAAACAAAACAAAAAAAAAACACTAAACTAACTTTGTTCAGACAAACAGCCGGTTCAGACACCGACTCCTTACATACATATCATTCCAGTGATTGTTGTTGTTTTCATCGTCATCATGGTTTAGGCACCGCTGTGAGATCCTGCAAACTGCTCACTGTATTCAGGTTCAGAGGTGGTGAAGATGTTTACAGAAGCAGCACCAGAGCGTTGCTTTGGTAACGTGTTCTTCAGCAGTGAGTACAGCTGATCTTAAAACACTCTGTGATGTCATCAACACGAGGCATCTTCTGTTCAATGGCAAAGTCGGTTTAAGGCAACTGGCGGTGTGAGAAAGAAACGACGCCTCAGGTGACCACGAAGGGTTAAAATATGTGAGCTGCACAGTGGATCGTTTGAACCAGGGTGTAAATATCTACATGGATAACCTGTTTGCAATTCAGACAGTCAGAACGTTTACATGCACGGTCAAGTCGAGGTAAAGATGAAGCTCGATGAGGTCATCTAATGAAGATTAAAGTATGTCCCACTCCGCTACAGTAGGTGGCGATACGCCCCCTTCCCGTCGACCAATTACGTTCAGACAAAAACTGACAAACAAGTTAGCAGGCGGCAGACTGTGTGACGCTGAAAACTTGTGTACTAAGTTGCACGACTCTCTCTCTCTCACTCGCCATGTTGAAACCTTCGTCTTATTTTCTTCTTCTCTTTCTTTTTACACATTTATTCTGCTCGACTTCTGGGTCCAAGTCTGGCGCAGCAGCTGTGGAGCGTGCTCAGAACGTTGCGGACAGTTTGGGCCCGATCTGAGGTGCACACACGCGAGAGTGAAACGACTCCCAAAACACTTTGTTTCGGTGTTTTAGTCCGACTTCAAGTTGTGGACTTAGTATTATTTGAGTTAGACGAAGATGTTTGCATGTTTTTTAAAAGTCAAGTTGAAGTCGGCCGCACACATCGTGTAAACGTCCCGAGTATCCGTCATGTACCCCTAACGAGGTTTAGACCCATTTTAAAATCTAACATCTCAGCCTGAGGCGGACGCTCATTCTGCAGACTCTGTCCTCTGTCCATGTTTTTGGATTCTCTCGTCATGATGAACTGTGTGTTTGCATCTTTATGAACGCTCAAAGGGACTCGTTAGGATTTACTGGCAGCAGATTTTGGTTTAAATTATGAGTAAAGTTTTTTTTAGATTTCTTCAGATTGTACCGTTTGCAAACACGTGGTATTGAAAAGTCTCCAAGTATGGACCATGTTGACATCATTAGCGTGAACACATTATATAATATTCCTCTCTGGTCTGAAGAAGCCGACATGCTGAGTGAATACAAAAGGGATTAAAAAAAACAGTTTGTAGTGTTGATGAGCCTCTTTGGCATCAGTCTCTCTTTTCATCTCACTTATTCCTCAATCGTATAGTCGGGGATTGTTCGGGTCCTCGGGTCCCGCCTTCCCGGCTCCTTTAGATCAACTTTTCATGACCTGAAGGAAGCGTCAGATCTTCTCTGTCTGTTTGTCATTTTCACTTCCTGAGTATTCTGAGGCTAGCCTGTTAGCAAACCAACATGCTAGTTAGATCCAGACTGAGTCGAGTTTGAAGGACTGAGCACGTCCCAGGCCGATCTGGTCCTGATAAGAAGACCTGAGACGTGGTTGCACGTTGGTGAAAGGCCACTTGACCGGGGGAATCAGCTGACGTGGTCGTTTAGTGCACCACGTCGTAGATGTTGTGGTCGATGTCGTACTTCTCGCAGAAGTTGCTCGTGATGGGCAGGCAGGTGAGATGCTCCAGCCAGTGCCAGTTGATGGGATAGATATAAAACCACACGATGAGCGACGAGAACAGCCCCGTGTAGGCCAACATGGAGACGCCGATGAGGACCCGTTTGCGGTACTTGTCGAACGTGCCGAAGGTGACGTAGGGCAGGAAGGCGAAGGAGAGCAGCAGGCCGCTGAGGAAGCCGAAGATGTGGGCGATGTTGTCGATCCACGGCAGGAGGCCGCACGTGAAGAGGAAGAGGACGATGCCCAGCAGCTTGAGGAAGGCCTTCCAGGGCTTCTCCAAAATCTGCCAGCCTTGAAACAGCTCGACGAAGAGGCACGCCAGGAGGCCAAACTGAGAGCCGGCCGGACCCACCTGGAGGGAGAGGACAGAATCAGACAGGTCAAATAATTCAATGTGAACACAACCAGGAAGTCCGAGTGGTTTCAGTCCTGACCAGAAGCTGAAGGACTCGTTATTCACTCTCTCAAGGGATGAGCCCGTTTAGACGACTAAACTAAATATTTTGGCCCTCGATGCCGGTCAAGTTTAGGTTATGAACTTCCTGACTTGTGAAGTGCTGTATCTGGGAAATTTAACACAGGAAAATATACAAAGCAAAAAACAGATACCTTGCTGGAATACTACTGGTGGCATCAAAGAAAGATATAACAAGAAAGTGGTGTAAGGAGGAAAATGGAGATCAAGTTGTATGCAGGCTGAGTCAGGTTAAACAGGTGTATCGACCGGAGCGATGTGTAACCACATCACACACGGGCATGTGGAGGTTAACCTGCAGGAAGGCAGCTTGAGTACTGTGTACGTTAGCCTCACTCGGCAAATCAAACGTCATTGTTTACCATCAGAGTGTTTTCTAACCTTTGGACGTTTAACTTGGTCTGAACATCACAAGTAAACGACCACTACATGACTCACGTCTGAGCACTGAACTCATGCACGACGACGAGCATCCGCTCTGATGTGTACCGGACGTTAAGTTGCATACATCCTGCTTTTCTGTGACGCAGAGCTTCAGAGCGCCCGTCATCCTGGTTCACAGCATCATTTATATCTGCTTCAAATGAAGGTCAAAGTTTTATTCCAGACGCAGAGTAAAACAACTTTTTAAAAATAAATCACTCTGAATTTGATTTTCTTGACATGTCCCTACAATCAGATGGTTTTATACAGAATTATACGTTTCAATACATCACTTTATTCTCTCCTCGGGGGAAATGTGTGGTCACAGTAGAAACGTACAAACATGAGTAAACACAGAACACACAAAGTGTTTCAGCTAATCTCAGCCGTCATCACGTCTGTTCATTCATATCGAGTCTGCGACAGTTTAATATTACTACCACCTGACCACCTCCTCCTCTTCCTCCCCTATCACCTCCTCCTCCCTAACCCCTCCCCCTCCTGCTCCAACCTCCTCTTCCTCCCCTATCACCTCCTCCTCCCTAACCCCTCCTGCTCCAACCTCCTCTTCCTCCTCCTCCTCCTCTTCCTCCCTATCACCTCCTCTCCCTAACCCCTCCTGCTCCAACCTCCTCTTCCTCCTCCTCCCCTATCACCTCCTCCTCCCTAACCCCTCCCCCTCCTGCTCCAACCTCCTCTTCCTCCTCCTCTTCCTCCCTATCACCTCCTCCTCCCTAACCCCTCCCCCTCCTGCTCCAACCTCCTCTTCCTCCCTATCACCTCCTCCTCCCTAACCCTCCCCCTCCTGCTCCAACCTCCTCTTCCTCCTCCTCTTCCTCCCCTATCACCTCCTCCTCCTTCTTCTACTACTCTTCCCTTTACATCTCCTTCCCCCCTAACCCCTCCACCTCATCTTTCCTAACACCTCCTGCTGCTCTTCCTCCGCCTCTTCATCCTCCTCATCCTCCTCCTCCGCTCCCTCCAGCTTAAAGTCTACTGTGCATCAGATTCAGTTCAGAGTCAACACATTATATTTTAAAGGGTTTACTCCTCTTTCCTCGCTCGCTGCCAGGCGTCTTGTTGCACCGGGCTGTGATTGTTAAATTGACCACAGATGCTGTAGATAGCAAGCTGCCAGCGTGGCGTGGTTACACCACAGAGAAACAAAGTGACGCCGTGGCCTACATGTTACGGGCTGACAGCAGGTGTCATTAAGCAGTGAGAAGAACACAACAGCATCTAAGTGGACTAAAGGTTTGGTCACTTTGAGTTCACATCAGAGGATCCTGCAGAGTTCTGCTGACAGTCAGTGGGTCAAATTACTAAAAGTAAGACCGTTTGAATCAGTGCGACCATCAACGCATCGTTTATTACACCTGTTGCCTCTGATGTACAAAAAATGACCAGTAAAGTTATTCTTGAAACACTTCTGTCTATTGAATTATTACCGTGACAGCGTTTAAGGTAATAATTATTTAAAGTCAGTAGAAATGTTCATGCAGTTTCTAAACACAACATTCAGACTGCCCCCCCCCCCTCCTCCTGGGCTCGGAAGCCCCGCCCCCTGCAGGATGTAGTGTGTATGTTTACTGCTTGTAGCTACACTGCAAGCTAACGCACGCTAGCACAAGCTAAGCGCCGGTGTTTGTCACCTGCCTGTCCAACAGGAAGTAGAACAACTCCACGGCCACGGGTAAAAGACAACACAAGGTTCACCCTCGTTTCAGAACTGCAGACAGAAGGCGAAACGTCGTGCTGACGTCCATCCTGTCTCCATGACAACAGTCTGTTCTGCATGTTTTTATTTTAGATCGTTTATTTCCCGATCAGAAACGAGCGAGGAGGATGAGGGTACAAGACACATTTGGAAAAGAGCGTTTTGTATTCGTCCATATTCATTTTTTCTAAGAATAAGCGACTCCATCTTTAAACAGAGTCACTGTGACTTTGAGAATAATGCCTGACCTATTAAACTCTAACTGTTCCTATGCGGGGTAATGACTCATCAACAACTCTTTTTGGGAGATCTTCATGGGAGATATTTGCTTTGATGATAGTTTGTAGGAATGCTTGAGCGCCGGGTCGGGCAGCAGATTAGAGTGACGTCTGCTCTGAGTTTGGAGGCTTGGCCGGTCAGGGGCAGATGGCTAATCTGTGAAGACATTAAAGTGTCACAACAGACGAGGAGCATGGGCACAGCTCTCCACCACACTCCAGACACGTAGGCTGCAACGTTCCTGACACGCCGCCGGTCCCGTCATACCCCGATGGCTTTCACCGTTTTTGAGACAAAGAAGGAATCAGATGAAAGAACTCAGTTAAACTTAAACTCTCTGGAGCTTCTATGGAGCATGTAGAGAACAGATCAGATTTCTGCCTTCATGTCTGATCAAATATCTCTTTTTACAGATTCATTCAAATGAACCTCAGTGACTCCGTACACGGCGGTCTGGATTTACAGCATGTGAAGTGTTGTTGTTTCTGTTTGAGAAGGGTGCGACTGATATGGTAAATTTTGGGGCCAATACCTAAACAGATATTAAGGAGACGACAAATCTGATACCGATATATCAGCCGATATCTTTCTGAGATGCGTCTTAGATCTGTATAGACAGATTTAGATATACACACATTTATGACGTTGATCCCTCAGTTATCAAACACTTGTGGAGAAGATTTATGATGAAGACAAGAAGGTCGCTCAGCTGGAAAGTAACTGAGCGTGTACGTGCATCACAGCTCGACACTCTGGAGGGCGATAATGTTATCCATATAGTGCACTCTGCTGATGAAAGAGAACTGCTAGTATAATACAAATATACTCAAATTGTGTGAATAAATCGAGTAATATCGGCGCATATCTGCGATAAAATTAGCCGATAGTCACTTGATATGCTGATATCGGTCGATATTATCGGCTGGCTGATAAATCGGTCGCGCTCTTATTGTTGTTTGCTTGTAGTCTGAGTTGTGTTGATAAATCACTGTAGGTGTCAGCAGCCTTTGCCATGTGATGAGAAACAGTCCTAACGATGATTTACTGATCTCTAGAAACAGATATCTGCAGAAACGTGTGGCTAACACTCCATTAAAGATCAAATATTTCAACTTGAGTGGAAATCAGCTTGTGAGCCAAACGCCAACCAGCCTTTAGATTCTTCCTCCAGGACTAACCTAGCGGTCCTCAGGGGGACGGGGCCTTCTCCATTGCCGCCCCTAATCTCTGGAACTCACTCCAAAAAAACCATCATACACCCCTCACTCTCCACCTTCCAGAAACCCCTAAACTCTCACCTCTTCAACATTGCCTACAACCACTTAAACTTTGTCCTCCTCCTCCTCCTCCTCTTAGACTCTTTCTTCCTTGTTTTCTTTGTTAAGCGTCTTTAAGTATTCAAAAAAACAAAAACATGGCAGTGACAGAACGCTGAGCACACGGATCTTCAAAGTTAACAAAGCAACTCAGGAGGATTTCAGGAGCAGGCTGAAATGTGTGGAAACAGCTAGAGACTGACTTTTTATGGACTTGTACAGAATGTTATTAAAACTTTTTAATCGTATTTAAACAGTTTTTTTATCCTGAAATCGTCTACAGGCGGCTCGTTCCAGTCATAGCTGTTGTTTGAGTCATGAACGGCCTCGAAGCCGCAGGGTCTCCTTAACTCCCCAGTTTAAGGATTATCCACTTAAAGCGCCTCCTTAAGTGGCTTGACCGCCGTGTGTGGTGCCTCGCATGTGCTCCCTCTGGTTATTCCGGGTGTGTGAAAAAAAAACCTGTGAGCCGCTCAGTGCCAAGGTGAACGGCATGGTGGGATTTCAGGGCTCTCACGTCAAGGTGCGTCATGCCGAGAGCCACCTCATGTCACACCGAGCAAATACCAGAAGGGAGAGTCTGAGTGTCAGAGACCAGGAACTATAAATGTAACGTGTTGTGTCATTTGTTAAAGAAGTGAGGAAATCTCTCCTGCCTCCATGAATCACTGTGTGTTCATAAACGTGTGCAGACCAGGCGAGCCGAGTCTTTGCAACAATTCTCTTTGTTTATAAGAAAATTAAAAAGTAATCTCTTTGCACAGCGGTGGCCTTTGTCAAGCCGCACAATGGCATTAGGCTAATCTCCTGAAGGGGAAAGTGTGCTACACAGAGACACGCTGACGACAACAAGACAGGCCTGGAAAAAGTAGGTAATCCACACGGTGATTTTCACACTCAACATGTTGTCCTGTGCTGCACTTGTTACACCGTGAATTAGAAGATTACTACCCCAAAAAGACGGACATTGGTTTTAAAGTCCACTTTGACGTTCTCATAAACTCACAAAAAGAAGGCAGGATATGTCCCCGTTTGACATATTAGATCATTTCTGCTCAAAGCTTTTCAACAAGCAACAATGGACCTCACCTAAAATAGCGCTCAGCTGCAGTTGACTCAGCAGCGACTCAGACACACACTTTTTAATCTTGTGGACCGATTGGCTGGATTTAGCTTTCCGTAAGCACATCCGCCAGGAAGCCTCCGAGTGGATTAGTTATGGTGACGACGTCCAGAATCAAACGTACGATGCAGGTGTGAAGGTCTGCAGAGATCACTGTCATACATTTACTCTACCGAGGCAGACGATCTCACTCTCACTGTCGAGCCTGTTTACTAAGTTCCTCTTACTGAAATCATCTTTTTGAGGCAGTTCAAGGTGAAAACTCTACGCCTCTGTAACATCTCGCCTCGGTGTGATGGAGCCACCAAGTTGTCCCACTGCGGTGTCTGGTAGTGATGAAGGTGTTTTCAGGGTGAGATGGGATCACCGTGCAACACTGAAGCTGGCCGGGTGGAGCAGCCTGTGTGTGTGGTGTGTGTGGGTGTGTGTGTGTGTGTGTGTGTTGTGTGTGTGTTGTGTGTGTGTGTGTGTGGTTCCCGCTGTGCTTCTGCAAGGCAATGTGAATCCACAACGACTCACTTTGATCATTTTGAACCCTCTTTAGTCACTGTTGTCTCTCCTTCCCTCTGCTCAGCCACTTCGACCGTCTCTGAAAAAAAGCATGAGTCAGGCCCCGGCTCGGTGTCGGAGAGCGTGGGCGGAGCCTACGATGGACGCTCCTCAGCCAGAGACAGGAGGGCCAAGTTCGGCAGACAGACGTCGCTCTCACAAAGCATCCGCAGGTAAGAAGAAGAGCTTGTTGTTTCAGGCAGCTCAACATTACTCTGTTAGTCAAACACACAATATTTAATTTATAGACCAACAATGGACTCATAAATAGTCATTAAAGTGTTCAGGAAGTGCTGATCCCACAGTGTGTGGAGTTCCTGCTGCTGCCACTCGTTAGTGTTGTAGCACTCGAAATCGGTACGTCGCCTGACCCGTATTTTACTATGTTGCTAACGCATGCTAACGGTGTGTAGGAAGGCAGTATATATACAGTATATGTGTTTTGCGCTGGCAGCGGCCATTTTTCTTTGCAAACCAACACGCTTCAGTGTTTTCAGCGTTCACTTTCCAGCACAAAAAAGTCAATGGACGCTGCGCTCACGGCTGGGGATAGTTGAACTATTGGGACACAGCCACGCTTCGTCAGTGTCCCTTCTCCCTCACTGACCAATCAGAATTCACGGCGATGGTGGAGGACAAACTCATCTGATTTGTCTTTTCAGGGGTTTAATATTTGATCTCAAACTGCTGCTAACACAAAACACACAAGCTTTCCATTGTTTATGTTTTCTTTAGATTTAAGTCAATATTGATCACACAGACCACACGGCTCTGACAGTCATAACTGAGGGACGCCAAAGTGCCAAAGTTTAGTCACCTAGCAACAGGAAGTGCTGGTGTGCGTTGAGGTCATTGGCACTGCCAGTTTATGAAACCCTGAACTACATGTTCCATGTAACTGAAGCTCAGTTTGTCCCTGAGGTGTTTCCTGTTGCCTCTCTGGAAGCGGGCAGTCACGTCTGCACTCTTTAATCCCCATTGTGAGAAACACCCTCCCTTAAGTCCGACACAGATAAGCTGAGGTAAGCCACCGAGTGGGAAAAACAGCAAAACAATCTGAAATCACAGCGGAGGTGTGGTAATTGTTTACGTGCTTTACTGTTGCATCGATGTGTTTAAATAAATCAAACTGCTTGATGAGGAGCGGACACAGATATCTCTGTCTTACATTTGAGGCCACATCTCATCAGTGTTTTAAAACCGTTAACTCCTCAGACAGACGGGCGCAGAGACCTGACACGTGAGTGTTTCAGTGATTTTGCATGAATGTGTTGGTGTGTGCGATTAATCAGCCTTCTTTGAAAGAGAAGTTTTCCCCTCCCCTTCTACTTCCTCCAGGTCCTTATCAGGTGTGAGCAACGGGACGCCACAGCACAATCACATGCTCTGTGTGCCGATTACATTCAAGGCGATATTTTAGAAAACTAAAAAATGACTGTCTGAGTGTTTATGTTTAATTTTTTACAAGCTGTGCTGGAGAAAGTTTACTGTGGGACCTTCAAATCCTTCCTATAGGATCATATGGCTTTGTGTATGAGTAGGTGCAAACATTTACTTCAATCAAAGTAACATTTTTATTATTGAACCTTTTTTATGTCTTTAATTCTTTAAGGTTCTTTTGCTGTTATTTGATTGGACGGCTTAAGAGAGATAGGAAGTGTTTGGGAGAGAGTGACAGAGAGAGACCGCATAATGCATCCATTAATCATCTATACCACTTTTGGTATAGATGATTGGGGCTGAAGCCGATCCCAGCTGTCATTGGGTGAGAGGCGGGGTTACACCCTGGACTGTTCACCAGCCAATCACAGGGCTGACAACCAGCCACACTCACATTCACACCTACAGGGAATTTAGTCAGCAGTTAAGCTAACGAGCATGTCTTTGGACTGTGGGAGGAACATGAAGCACTCACCTCCGCTCTGTAGGGCAGGAAGAGGGCGGAGGCCAGGTTTCCTGTGATGCCACTGAGGACATAAATGATGGAGATGCGGACCCAACCGGCCAGCTTCTCCAGGTCCCTCAGTATGGTCATCTGGAACACCACGGACACCACGCAGTGCAGCAGCCTGCGGACACACAAAACCACAGTTACTTTGACCAGCTGTCCCAGATAAAGTCTGAGGGCACACACACGATGTACTTTGTCGACTGATTAGACTCATCATGGGGGGAAATTGGATTTTAAATAGCCGACAGATCACCACTAACAATGCCTGTCTTGTCTTGTAAATTCTTATTTATTAAGATCTAATGTTAAAGCGCCAAAGTCTTGCTAAAAAAGGTTGTTGATGAACATCCATCCTCATTTTTTTAATTAGCAAACTGAACCGTGTCACAAACACACATCTGAGATTTAAAAACCAGCTGGTGTTGTAGTCAAAGCATTTTGTCAAACGTGCATTTTTTTCCCCATCAGGCTCCCTGGTCTGTTTGTGAGCTTTAAAGTAGACCTGAGGGATTTCCCATGTGCCTTGTATTAGCGCCGAGTATTTGGTGCTCATGCGAGCATGAAAAGCTCACGAGTGTCAAGTCTTAAGAAACGTTTTCTTTTCGGTTTGAATCCTGAAGGATGCTGACATAATGAAACCACAACATTCAGAGCTGATGGAAACAGCTCACTGACTCGCTGTAATAGGCTTAACACCGTCACAGCACATTAAACGGTTAGAGTTACTTTGGTTAGGTTACATGTACTGCAGACCTGAACGGCTGACTCAGCTAAAACCAGCTGGTATGTGATGTCATAACTGTGATGTAATGCAACAAGATAACTAAAATAAACACAATTAAAGGAGCAATCTGCACAAAGTGACCTTACTATATAATCAGACATTAAGGAAACATGCTATGTTGAAGTGCTGGCTTCTCTGACAACAATGCAGCAGCCAGTATGTCCTCCTTCTAACTTTAGATTCTGCTCCTGAATGCTCTGGATTTGTTTGGACCAGAGCAGGTAGGCGGTTTTAAGGCGACCCCCACACGGCCGTTTTGGACGCCCCTCTGTTTGCCAGATATGAGAGCAGTTATCAGGTCAACAGGTGTTGCAGTGATGGAAGCGGGCAAGAGAAGTGGTTCAGATAGAAGTGATTGTACCCGACCTAAAAAAGCCTCTGCATGTTTCTAATAAGCTCCACGAGCAGAAACGTGCTCAAACTAGGATCAATATTGGAGATGCTTTTGAAAAATGGAGAGAGGTTAGAACACAGAAAGGTTTACAGACCCATGCAGAGCTGGATAAACACTGAAGCTTCAGAGTCCACCACATGGTGACCTGAGTGAGCATCCACTCTAGAGAGGAGGGGACGGGGGGAGACAGCTCTCTACAATGTTTTGAATATAGACTGCAGTACCCATTTTAAACACTAGGTGACAGAGTTACATAATGCTCCTTTAAATTATTAAAGAGTTTGAAATAAAGTTTTTGTTTCAGGATGTCTGTGAGAGTTCTTGTTCTTCTTACCCAGCATGGAGGAAGAGAGAGAGCCACAGTCGGTAGAACTGATCAGGCACATCGGGGTTGAGGAAGGGGAGTAAGCCGCACACATCGTCCAGACAGTGAACCTGCGTCAGAGCAGTGCATTTGATCAGATATGTAAACACACTCACACTGACACATGCACACACACTCACACTTAGCACAGGCACACACACTACCTGTGAGCAGAGTGTGGCGTCCTCGTGGAAGTAACCATGCATGAAAGAGCAATACTCTCTGGTGGTGATCTCACATCTACAGGAAGAACAAGCACAAAGCATTTCAGATTCTCCCAATCTGAATGATGAGCGCTGAAATGGTAGGTACGTCGAGCATGATTGAAAAAGTGGGACAGATGATAAATGTGATAACTGCACGACTTGACAGGACTAAAGAGGGCCAGAGTCTGCTCTACTCTGAAGCTGTGAGACTGCTGATCAAAACCCCTGAACACCGCTTTAGGATGGCCATGCACCTTTTTGCCCCTGAAATCCGGAGGCTGAAGGAGAAACTCCAGGTGAAGTCTGATTGATGAAATGTGGCCTTTTTTTTTTTCTCTGATATTTCTTTTTAATTCATTTTGAACGCACACTTTATATCTCTCCCACGCTGTATTTAGTTCTTGATGTTTATATTTAAAAAGCTGAGGACTGCAAAAGAGACCTAATCATTTTTCTGTGACAATGCTCTGTTATATTGTTGCTGTCCAAAGTCTAAAATAAAGATTAAAAAAAGAATATAAGAAATGTGGTCGTTTGCATTCACACATGCAGCTCAGCCTGAAAGCTGCAGGAACTTTCCAGGAATGTCATTGGCACGTGTATTAAAGCTGTTAACACAGACTTTCTGCTGCTCTTTTAAACCTGCTTTACAAACATTTGAATGCTGCTATCCGTTTAACATGCTGCTCGGAAATGTGCAATATACTCACTCCAGATTTAAAACACATGTTTATATTTATTCTATATATTATTTTTGACAATAAAGCCTCATTGAATCCTTAAAGAAACAGAACAGGAAGTGAATCATCTTGTTGGGTCTCACCTGCCCTTGGTTCCGATGCAGCACGGCCGGCCCTTGATGTTGCAGTCCATGTGTCTGTAGCCCGTGTGGTTCCACTTCTTAGGAAACGTGCAAACCTGAGGAGGGACGAGCAGTCAGCCGTCACACAAACAAAGACATGGTGTTATCTTTGAACTTCCTGTGGTTTACAACCTGGCAGCTAAACTGTTTAAATGTCAGTACCACTCACCGGCCACTGGGTGATGTCATCGGGCCACGTATGAGGCTCTGCAGAGGCGGGCTCCTCACACACTCTGCTCGTCAGGAGGAGAAGATTTAAAGAGTTTAATCAAAATCACAAGAAACGTTTTTGGTGTTATTTTGAGGAAATGAATTCTCACCTGGGATCCTGGTGACACACAGAACCAGACGACCTGATGATGTCAGTGTCCTCATCGCTCCATTTGATAAAGGTGGCCAGAGTCTCCTGCACATTAAACGGGTTCAGTGATAAATAGTTCAGCTTGTTTAAGGTAAGACTGTGCAGGGTCTCTTACCGAGCAGTCGGAGCTGTGGGTCTGCACGCAGCCTGAGTTATCGTTCTGGACGCAGCAGCCCGACTCTCTCTCCAGGTTTTTGGCCCTCTGGATCAGGTTGACGATCTGTCGGTCCTGACGGATGCAGGGCGAGAACTTTGCTCCCAGGTGGATCAGATCATCCTGAAAAGATTTGAGGTTAGGAATGTGTCATCTAAAGCAGCCGCTCTCAACTATATCTTTCATCCAATGAGATTTGTTC